TGGATAGTTTCAGCCTCTATTGAACTAAAGGAACTAAAAGGAGCTGCTAACTTGAGAACTACCACTAAATGACATCTCTAGATGGAACAGAGCATTTTAAGCTTTGGAGATGAAGACAGACTGTATAAAGAGTTACTCAAGCATGTGTGAAAGAAACAAAACACAACTTCAAGTAAGTTTTGAGGAGGTAGCAGCATTATAACATGGCTCAAAGTACACAAGAATTTAATTTGTGTAATATAAGACCTTTAAAAATCTGTTCTTACCATCGGTGCAGTGGTTTAAGACATTGAACATACAGTATGTGGTTGTCATTGGTTGGCTGAATGTCTTTCTGTTTTTACTATTATGGCCTAATACAGCATTTGGGCCTGAAAATAGTCCTATGTTATTTAGGACCATTTGTTTAAGTTAAGATAAATTTTAACCTTAACCTCAGACTTTGGTAGCACTTGTTGAAAATAGATGAAACATAACTAATCCACCAAAACACTGCTAATGTTCTTATGAAAAATACATCATATAATACTGTACTTCATTTAGTGTGTTGTCTAATTAATTAATCGCTATCCACTTCTTAGCACTGTGACCTAATTATGAACAAAACACAGAAATTGTCTCAGCCTTAAGACTTATTAATTACATGCATCTATTTTTGGATTTCAGATTCTAGGATGTCATGATCATATTCCCAGGAGAGGGCAGGAGACAGTTTTCTGTATGGTATTTTAATAACAAATATCCAAAAGAGAAAAAAAAAATAGATCAGTTTTATAACTCACTAAAGGCCCTCCACTTCAAAATGTTCCCCTCTTGATACTTTCATTAAATATAATAGGTCATCTGAAACCCAGTAATATATATTAGTGGTATAGCAGTTCTCCGAGGAGCAGGACAAGAACAGACAGGAGCAGACAGGAGATCATAAAGTATTAAGAATTGTTACATCTTATTTTTCTTTTAAAATGTTTGTAAAGTGCTACAGTGCATTGTCCTAAAAATTAGCTAATATACTTTGTGTAGTCACCTTAAAGTGCTAAAAGTATTGTGCATACCCAGTAGAGCTCAATGTTTTGTAGTATTGCACATACCCTATAGTCCTGTATGTATTGCACATACCCTATAGTCCTGTAGGTATTGCACATACCCTGTAGTCCTGTATGTATTGCACATACCCTATAGTTCTGTATGTATTGCACGTACCCTGTAGTCCTCTATGTATTGCACATACCCTGTAGTCCTGTATGTATTGCACATACCCTATAGTCCTGTAGGTATTGCACGTACCCTGTAGTCCTGTATGTATTGCACATACCCTATAGTCCTGTATGTATTGCACGTACCCTGTAGTCCTGTATGTATTGCACATACTCTATAGTCCTGTATGTATTGCACATACCATATAGTCCCATATGTACTGGAAGTACCCTATAGTGCTGAATGTATTGTAGTACCCTAAAATGCTGAAAGTATTGCCCGTACCCGGTAGTATAAATTTTTTGGATGTATCCTATAGTGCTGAACATATTGCACATACCCTATAATCCTATATGTATTGCACATACAATATAGTCCTGCAGGCACCCTATAGTGCTGAATTGAGTTCTTGAATGAATTGTGTTCAGAGGTTGTGTGTCTCGTTTGTCCAGCATCACGAGGTGTGTTAAATATGCACTCACACCACCCTCCCCTCAGCCCACCCCGGCCCCATCACCCCCCCACACAAACTGATTGGTCTGTCAGTGTCAACACAGGCCTGGATTTCACTGCCTGCTCACTGTGACACTGTTTGCTTTGCGGGTGATTCAAATCCCACCCAAATCTCATGAATAGGTGAGGCTGCAGCTCATCTGATTGGAGTGGGTATAGCAGTGTAAATTGAAATGTTTACTGACAGACCAATCACACTGGAACAGAGAGGGGAGCATCCATATTAAATTTTGGTCAGATTTGAGTGTAATACAGTAAAGAAAGATGTTTGTTTTTGTTAGAACTGTAGCAGGAGACACTAGCAGTGGCAACAGTAGTCAAAGCAGGAGGTTCATGTAATCCCTCATTTGTCCAGGAGTGGTCCATGGTAGGTAAGGCTTCAGAGGTAGTCATCTGGGCAATGTTTTTGGAATCAAGACCTTCTGAATGCCATCCAAAAACAAAGCCATTTTCAATCTGAAAGTACTGACCTGAGAAAGTACAGTTTATTCTGCAGTGTGCTAGTAGTTGAAGTAGTAAAAATAGTTGTTTGATTTTAGTATACAGTTGTGCCACCTTAATACCCCAAAGCCAGTCAGGAAATTTGATAGTAAATACCACATAACTTTTTAATTTAAGACTTTTCTTTACAATGTTGTCTGCTTCTGGATAATATTTGACTATAGACTGATAGGACACTTGTCTGCTGTATGCAGTGGTCATGGTGAAATGGGACTACCTCGTGTAGCTTTGTTTCATCTATGAAACAGTTCATAGTCAAATCCCCGTGTATCTGTGCATTGGTCGTGCATAGGGAGCTAAGGTAGGTTAAAGAAATGACAGGTTTGATCCGGCTGTTAAATTGAACAGCCAGCCAGTTTAGGGGGCTCTCAGGGGGATTTGGCGCGCTTGGTTGGGCAGGGAAGTGGCAGACACCGAGGCAAAACCCTAAACCAAATCAGTGCAATTAAAAACGCAAGCGAAGGAGAATAGTGCCCCCCAGTGGTCGTTGGCGGTACTGACGCTTCTCATTTTGCTCTCTCACATGCTTGGGTACCTCTCTCTTTCCTGCAAAAAGTCCTGTGGCAGTGAAGTGCAATGATCCAGGGCATATCCATATTTTAACAGCAGTGTCCCTCGCAGTCTCACCTTTAATTGCATATAATCATTCATAAATAATTTCCCAGAGCTTTGTTGGCTGAATGAGGTAAGAGCTGCACTGACTGCTCAAGCATGACTGCAGATTCAGAAAAGCTTTTTATTTTTATTTAATTGCTCCATGTGTGAAAATAAACTCTTTAAATGTCATATTACATAGCCTAATGCTTGCTAGTGCGGTTTAATCAAGCGTTATCAAAGGCTGAGAAATGGAAATTAGAGTGTGCAGTGCCGCTGAAGCTCTAACATATTTATCCTTGACTAGTGCGCCGTTCACGGGTGAGGACTTGATCATTTCCTTTGAGGGTCGATTCTCCACGGAGCTGCTCTAAGACTGTATTGACCTACATTGCCGTCTGTATTTACAGTAGGTCTTATATGATTTTATTCTGCTCAAAGTGAGGAGCAGATACCCATAATCCTGTGTGCATAATGTTGACATCACTCATTCCCCTTCCTCTGTCCGGATGGTTTCCTCGGGCAATTACCTGCTATCACTGTGTAACCGAGGAGAGTCAGGTATGTCGTTACTGATGAAGACGAAGAGTGGGCTAATGGAAATGCAGTAAATACAAGGACTGTGTAGAATATCTACATATGGGTCTATTTGGATTCAGTGTGCATGCCCTAATCATCCATCCCCACGTTGTTGAATAAATAAAAGCTTGCAGTATTTCACTGTACCAAACCTTGCTTGTTTTAAACAGGGTGATGTCTGAACCAGTGCCCCTCCTCTCTCTGATCTCCTGGTGTTAATGGGCTGAGACATCAGTGAGGAATGGCCCAGCTCAAACCTCTGCAGCTGCTGCTCCGAGAGGGCTCTGGTTCAGGGGCATCAGGTAGAATTATCATACAGGTTTGTTAAATGTACTTTTTGTTTAACTTGTCACTTATAAACTTTGATGCAATTTTATTTATTGATTGAGAAAGTTCTTCAAATGGAATGGAATTCTTTACAATTATATTTATAATTTGTAGAACTGAAATAAAACATTTATTATTCTTGACAGTGAGAGAAAAACAGTTTTTGAAAATCTTTTTTTTTCTCCAAAATCAATCTGCATGTGTGAATCAGACCCATTCAAAAGTTTTATTTTGTTTTAAATTGTTAATTGCTATGGCAACGGTGATAATTCTTCATCACTGAAACTCATATATATTAACCGAATTATTGTCAACTCTTTTTCTTTTGTATTTATTTCAAGCATGACTTCATATATAATCATGACAAACAAGGTAAAAAAAAAAAAAGTAGAACAAAAAAACAAGAACATATATGCAAGGCAAGAAGGCAAGTTTATTTGTATTGCACAGTTCGTACACAAAGTAATTCAAAGTGCTTTACAGAATAAGAAATACATTAAAGTCACAATAAAAACAAATCAAAACATAAATAATCATCATAAAATTAAAAAGAGAGAGAGAGAGACATTAAATTAGAGAGACATATATACATACAGTACATATACCCATATATATATATATATATATATATAGATATACATGCATATATATAACCATCTCAGACAAGAAAATACAATATAATATGTTTCTAAGTGTGAACACTAATATGTAATAATGACAAGTAATATGATAATGAAAAACACTCACTCCCTGTATTGACTCGTTACATACAATAATTGTGTGTATAATTATCAACCTGTTTGTACCCTTAAGTGCCTTTTTTTTTTCTAATCCATTTTAAGTACAATTTCAATACTGCTCACCTCAAGCTCAAGTATTGCCCTTCTTCTTATAGCTTTCATATCTCCATTGAATAGTCTAGTAAAGTCTTACAATCTACAACAATAATTAACAGTGCAAGCAACAAGCAAACAATCACAACAGGCTACAGAAAGATATTGGTAGTGATTTTGGTTTCTACTTTATGTAGCTAGATAAATGATTCCTAATTACATCCACAGCATAGATATATAGATAGATCCACCACCTGCAGAAAAAACCCTGCTGTATTCAGACCCCAGTGCCCTGACAAAGTGGCAGCCTGCTCTGTTTTAATGACATTTTAAGAACTTGATCTACATTTCCCATTGAGCCTAATGAGCATTACATCCTCTCCCCGCAGCCTCATGCAGTGTCTATGGGAGCACTGATAGCAGGTAGACTTTGCCCTCAACAGGCACAACAGGAAGTCCAGTTCATTCCTGTCACCACCACCTCCGCTGCTCTAGAGGTAAGACACATTTCTACTACCAAAGGCTCAGTCATTGATAGTATTTCTTTCCAAAGAGCGTACTGATATAGATTAAACCTTTTACCTTTGTAATGTGAAGTCTGTATAAATGTAACTTCTAAAAATACACATGTTCATTCATAAAAATACTGGATGGGACTAGCAGCCTCCCTCTGTCTTTCTATTTATCTTTCTGTCTATCTATCTTCCTGTCTACCCGTCTTTCTATTTGGCCTACTATTATTAGCCTTTATTACTCAGCCCTATCTTGATAAACTGTATTATCATAACATCAGAATATTTAATACATCTTGACAAGAGGGCCACTTCCAAGACATACTATTTTGCGCTGTATTTTACTCTTGTAATGCAACTCCTATGCAAACTTACATTCAAATTAAGCTTTTGTTTGAACAACTAATAGACTCCTCAAGCTGCCGGTCGATCTATCACTGCCTGAATCTAATCTATTATGCATTACTGATATTAGAAGAAATGTATGGTGCTTAATCCATAGATACATTATTTTGATGCTTTACTGAACTGTAGATCCACATAGTAAACTCCTTTGACATTAACGGTGGCCCCTTATCAAACAAAATCAGCTTTTGTGTGAGTAATTAGACCATTACTTTGGTACTTTAATTATTAATGTTTGGATTGTGATGCCCTAGCCAATATATGACTCCCCTGTCCGCATTATATTTAAACTAAACGCCACAATATATTGTCTGTGTGGCCTTATAGCTGGCAACTGCTTTTCCTTTGAGATCAATTAGCCACAACCGATTTGGCTATTAAATATACATATAGCTCTATTAAAGGGGGGCTTAAGGCAATAATTATGGATGTTAGTCATGGCTTGGCTTTCAGTGTTTGTGCGATGCATCATTTTGTAATTAGGCATTTATTTTTGCATAGCAGATTTAGCGGCAGTGACAAAAGTGCTGATGGTGGTTGCACTGTGCCATATGACCTCAGTGTTAGCATTTTGTTTGTTCTTCTTTCTTATGCAGGGTTGATGAAAAGCTCCAGTATTATTTGAAAATGGACCAAGCTAACGGAGCCAACCCGCCTCCATACAACTTCCAGGACTACGGGCAGAGTAATTATGCAGGCATGAGCTATCAGGTCGGTAGTTAGCTGAACATTTTAATTTGCGTCATAGAAGGGGGAAAGAATTATAAGGGCTGACTTATTTTCCATTTATTCAGTGTGTGTTTGTGCCCCACGGTGCACAGTGCATGAGTCTAAGTCACTCTGGCTTTGATCATGAGCCTATTATAGCTGGGGCCCATTGCAAAAGTATTATAACTATTAAAATTGCAAGATTATTGAAACCTTTTTTATGGTAATTAACTTTTGTATGTGACCCTTCATACAACAGTAAAAATGTTTGAAGGGTGCACTATTATCCAGAGGCAGGAGTTTGGTGCTCCTGTTGCTAAACCAGAACGTTGTGGGTGTGATCCCCTGAGATTTTCCCTCTGTGTGGGGTGTTCTGCTTGTGTTATTGTGGTTTCCTCTGGAGACCTTGGCATCTTTTCACTTACCAAGAGAGGTATGGCATGTATTATAAAAGTATCTATTTACAGCCTCTAAGATGAAGCTTTGAAATAAAAAATGAGAAAATCCCTACCTAAACAATTTAAAACCTTTTATTACACAAGAATAATAATAGGAGTTGAGGAGATGCATTTACTACAGTTTGACCATTTTCATTTCTTGGGAAAATTACACAGCATGTTTTCCACCCTTAACACGATTTTAAACTTTTGACTGAATACGGCTGTCACACCGCAGGACATGCTAATTGAACAAAGAAAAGGGTCTAGTTCTCTGCCAACTAGTTTAATCTTACTTTTCAATCACACTGCAATTCTCTTCAGTTTAGAGTTTGCAAACAATTTCTCAAGTTCTCAAACAGTTACCTCATTTTGTTCATATGCAGTTATAAAGTTATTATTTACAAGAAAATACAAAACTAACTTCATCATAAATCCCAGCTATAATTTCAAGTTCTGTTAGTGTTTTCTTAAGCAAGACACTTCACCCACATTGCCTAATACGAATGTGGCTTTTGGTGCAGATTGGCAGCCTTACTTCCGTTAGTCTGTCCCAGGGCAGCTGTGGCTACAATACTATTTTACCACAGCTGCTAATTTGTATGTATTTGTTTGAATTAGTGTTTATCCAGCGATTAATGTCTTATTCTGCATAACAAGGCGAGCACCACAAGAAATGTAGTTTTTACTTATTAGAATGCTTAATAATAAATATATCTTGATCTTATGTAAGGAAAAAACGCAGCCTAGTAAGTTTTAACAGTGTCCAGTTAAGGTCTGGGTATGTTTCTAGTGGTGTTTTGATCATAAATAATAACTTACTAGTTTGACTCAAATTTAGGCATTTTGTGTACATCCTATTATATGTGTATTTTTTAGATGAACAAACCTCACTGTCCTTATGTCATACTGTTGTTGGAGTAGGTTGGCAAAGGAAACATCTCCGTGGTGTCTGCTCCTTATGATAACACAGCCCATCCAGAGGGCCAAACATCTATGGCAGTAGACTTCAGCCCCCCTCCTGACTACTCCTATGGTGAGGAGGAAAGCAGCTTCAGCGACAGCAACATACGACGAGGTAATTCTTGGCCAAATCTCAGACGGAGAGAGCGAGAGAGAGAGAAAATAGTTTTGTTTGCATGGGTTAAACAGCAGTTACTTCCTCGATCGTTCTGTTGCCAGGGCTGGAAATTGATTTGAAAGAGAAAGTGTTCCCTTTGCCTGAGCTGTGTACCTTTTCACACAAAAGAAATGATTTGAAGGGAATGTGAGTTGGCTGTGTTTTAAATGCAGCGCTGCCTTCGCCTCACTGTTCTGTTTGGCAGCCTGTCTGCTTTTGTCCTCCTCCGTTTGTTTTGCATTTCTCTATTGTCAAGGTTCTCCTACTGTGTACCTATGACCCTCTTTGTATTTTTTCTCAATAGGATTCATTAAGAAAGTCTACCTGATCTTAATGCTGCAGCTGCTGGTGACTGTGGGCATAATCTGTGCTTTTCTTTATTGGTAAGTAAGAAAATGACTATACTGTTAATACTGATAAGGCACCTTCATTATTCAATCAATCCTTACAATGTTTGATGAGCTACTTCTGCCGTGGGGCTGATTAAGCAAAATGTGGCTGCTATTATATACCAATTGTATATCTGACAACTGCCCATCTTACAATTCAATCCCTCCCAATAAATTAGTAAGTGAATTGTCCTCATAACAGAACAAGAGATTCCCTCGCTGTGATGACCGCCTCAGAAAAAGTAGAAAAAGAAAGACATACTGTATTAATAAATGTGATGGGAATCATAGACTGTAAAAAGAAATGGACTAAAGGAGAGTGACGTCACCCATAGCGTTCTGCTCGCTCCAGTGAAATGAAGCTCACGATGCCAGCAGTTACAGGAGTCAATTTGGAGCTAAGTTCCATATTAGGAATAGGAATTTATTAACGGACAAAATAGCTAAATAAAAACAGCAGGACCATGTGAGTGGGTTAATACGAGCATTTTATGATGAGGTTTATTACAGCAGTCACAGAGAGAGGGGCGACAATTTTTCAACATAAAGTCAATTGAAGCCGGAAGCGCCCCCATGGTTTACGTTTATTGTTACTAAGATGAGTAGAAGTACTTCAATAACGAGAAGAAATGCTCAATTTATGCCAGGTGAAGCGAGAAAACTTGTAATACATTCTCTTGTTTTATCTCATCTGGATTTTTGTCCTATTGTGTGGTCTAGTGCTGCCAACAAAGACCTGGACAAACTGCAGATAGTTCAGAATCGAGCTGCAAGACGAGCTCTCAGACGCCCTTTCAGAACAAGTGTTAATGTTATGCATAAGAGACTGTCATGGAAGAAAGTCAAAGAGAGACTGACGTGTAGCTTGGTTCTGTCCTTGCACAAAGTCTGGGTGACACATAGACCTCAGAGCCTGTTCTCACAGACATGGGTATAACAAAAGACGAGCCTCCTTTGCTACTTTTACTTTGCCTAGACAAAGAACTAATGCATTGACAAAAAACTTTTATATACAGAGCCACTTCTCACTGGAATAAGCTGCCTCAAGAAATGATGCAGACACACAATCATCTTGCTTTTAAAAAACATCTCAAGAAATCAATGCTAACCAAACTGTGATTAACTGATGTCTGTGTTTTCTGCCTTTTCCCCTCATCATAGAAGTTGCTGTTATGCATTGACTATTATGTGATTTACTTTTATTGTACGGTCTATGTGTTTTTGTGTGATTTTATGATAGAGAGTGGACCCCATATCCTATAAATAAACAAATAAACAAATATTTCCTGTTTTGCTAGCTAGTCTATGGATGGCACATGGAGGGACAGCCTCATGAAATTTAAGCTCATGAATAATAATTGCAGTAAGTTAATGCCATTAGATTTTTTGTTTTTACCAATTGTGACACACTGACAGTCTTAGGTTTTTTCATGTAGCATTAATGGAAAAGTGGGAGATATTCACCTTATTCTGTAAGTTGCCGTTTATTTTGCATGGGGCTGCTGCTTTTGACAACAAATAATTTCAATATGAAAGCTGTTTTAAAGCCCCTCGGGGAATCATTAGGGCATTGTTGACTTGTTGGTGGATGTGAACACTAAACATTTTACACAAGTTAACCTACTTTCTGTCATATTTAAAGGGACTATATTACACATAATTTACTTTTATAAGCTTTTAACCGTGTTGTAAATGTTGTTACCACCTCAAAAACATATCCAGAGTTGTCTTTTGTTTCATTCACATTTAGTAGAGATTGGCAACTTAGGGCTGAAATGATTCTATGAAAGATGCATAGAGTTGTTCCAGTTTGAGAGAAGAACTCAGTCTAATTATTCAGCGTTTGTGTGTTAAACCTATGTGAATGAAACAAAACACAACTCCAGGTATGTTTTTGATGAGGAAACAACATTATGACATAGATCAGAAAACAGTGAAATATTAAACTTTTTAAAAAATATTTCAATTAACATTTTTCTCAAATTTTCCATTGAAATGAATGGAATCCACATTTAACTGGAAGTGCCACCACAAGAAAGCGCTGTTAAGAGCATTTAGAGACAAAAGTGGGTGGGGCGGAATAAAGAGAATAAACCGGATGAAGGACTCAGGCCTAAATGGCTTTGTAGGGCATCCAAAAGAGTTACAAGTGGGTACAGTGGCTTTTGCTCCCAAACAATGACAAACCAGAACTACTGCAGCACCATGAAAGAGGGCTGTGTCAAATAGAACAACATAATCCTGTAGTCGTACACTTCCAGACTCATTTAACCGTCAACACATCATATGGAAAAAGCTAAAATAAAACATCTCTTTCCTTGTAATAGTTTGCTTTATATAACACTTTGATGGCTTTATATGTTTTGTATAATGGATGTGCTCCTGCCCCTCTACAGTCATTTCCTTTCATAAATTGTATTGGTGTCCCCAGTGCACTGTGCTCTGTCCTCTGTTAATATTTAATACAATCATTCTACAACAGTTCTCAGATGAATGGCACCTCTATTAAAGCTGTGTTTCTTTTCACGCCAGGTCAGAGCTGAGGGACTGGACATGGCACAACAGCTGGTTTTCTTACACCATGATGTAAGTGTCAAAAGTGACTCTAATATATAGCCCGAAGCATCAGCAATCTTTTTTATACTTCTTTTTATACTTCTTTTATGTCTATTTTTGTTGGATCATTTTTAAACCTGAAGCAAATTCAATGCATTACTCATTTACTCATTTGCCAAAGATGGAATATTGATTACATACTTAAAACCAAATCAGAGTTTTCTTAGTGGAAAAATCCAAAATGCTTCCTGCTTAGATCTATGCTCTTAATAAACTAAATAAGTACAATAAGGCTGCTATAATTAATCGACTAATCATAACTACTCTTAGATCATTGTAATCGTTATCTGGGATATACTGACTCTAAAACACATACAGAAAGACCTTTTTATAGTAAATACTGTGGCAATTATGAATTATTGAATGTCAAAAAATAATAAAATATCAGATGTTCAACAATAATGTAATTAATTATATTGACATAAATATTCTGCATTTATAAGCCTTAGCTCACCATATCTCAACTATATAAATCATAATGAATTAATTAAGGTTATAATCTGCCATTCACAATTTATCAGTGAGAGTACATGAAAAGTCCTAAGTACACATATAAAGATATTAAATAAGGCTAGTAATTAAAACAGAGCATTAAGTTATGTCATTATTTGGGTCAAAGAGCACATCTTCCTTCTGGGAAACCTGGGAGTGGATCAAATAATGACTAATTTAAACATGATACCAGTGAGAGCTGAGTCGAAGCAGATTTATCAGTAACTAACTCATCATGCATTAAGAAACACAACTTCATGCAGGCCTTCTAGTTCAAGGCCAGATGAGGTACAACAGGAAGTTGAGAGATAAAATAAAATCGTAAAAACAGATAAAAAACAAACAAATAAATCCAAGCTCAAATTTATTGCCAGATAGTGATTATTTATTACAAAAAAAACACAGAAACAAGTATCATACTGGTTGAATTCCCATACTGAGCTGTGTGCCTCTTGTTGATGTTTACAGTCTGTGTTTTTGTTATTTCCGACTCATCCTATATTCTGTGTGAAATAGGGCGGTGGTCCTGGTGCTTGTGGTGGCCTTGTCTTGCTGTGACAACCTGCGCCGTCAAGTCCCTCTCAATTTCATCGCCCTGGGCTTGTTTGTGAGTATATGGGCAGGAGCAGTAGCAGCCAGGCACCATATGAACACCCTCTCCTCCCTCTCCTCCCTTTCCTCCCTCTCCTCCCCTACGCACCCTCTCCTCTTTCTGTATTTTTCTGTATTTACCATGAATTTGTCTCTCTGTGTTTAGACAGTGGCGGAGGGCCTGATGCTGGGGTCTGTGGCTGCGTGAGTGTTTGTTTTTGCTTGACGCACTCTCTCATTTGCACAATAATAACCACTTTTGATCCATATCACATCGAATTTGGGAAGCCAGAAATGAAGCCGTAGATAAGATGCTATCATTGTGTTTTTTACCAAATTAAAAAACAAATGGAGACATGAGAATACACCACTACAGCAGCATGACAATTAGTTATAAACTGTTGGCAATATAAAGGTTGTTTAGCTACCTAAGTATCCGCTTGTTACTTGAAAACTAGTATAGCCTGAACAGTATGTGCATGGGCAGTAAATTCCTTGACCATAATGGTACTGGTATCATTGGCAATATTAGCCTTTTTCAAATGTAGAATAGTGCTGGATTTGATTTAGATTAGAAATATAACCCAATTCAACATACAAATGCAACAAGAGCTCACAAGCCGCTAATCTCCTACTGCCAAATAAATGAAGTGTTTAATCAGAAAGGGCATCCAAGTTTTATTATAGCTATTTTCTACCTGCACTGGGGACTCAAAATGCTTTACAACCATTCACACAAATATTCTTAAAAATATAGACACCAATAGGAATGTGGGTTAAGTGTCTTTCTCAAAGAAACAACAACAGCATGCACTGTTGGGAGTGGGGATGGAACTGCAGACTTTTGGATTAATAGTCAATTTAAGATGTGTCATATCCACCATAGTGTATTTGTGCTCTCCCTGCTGCAGGTTTTATGATGCCGAGGCTGTCCTGTGGGCCATGCTGGCCACTGCACTGGTGTCCTTGGCCTTAAGTCTGTTTGCCTTCCAGTCAAAGGTGAGATCTGTCACAGCTCGGAGCTCCGTTTGCAGGGCAGCCACAAGTGAAATTTCATAAAGCGCCACGACTTTGAGGTGCAGTGAGCAGTAAATGCCCCTATACTAAGCTGTGTTTCCTGTGCACTCAGAGGAACAGAGTTAAGCTGGTGCTTGCTGTTTGCTCGGCAGGTATTGGTAAGGCTTTAAAAGGCTGCAAAGGGAAAGCTGATTACTGCTCCAATCACAGCATTTGCACATCAAGTTTTTGTCTTCAGCTGAGGTGAAGTTTTTACCCATAATATAAATCCTACACACACAACCAAGCTCATGTTGGTAAGACAGTTGAATATAATATAGTTGCATATTTCAGATGGAGAGAGTAGATTTATTTTGATAAAAAATTTTAGACCATTGCTGGCTATTTATCATTACATTTATCACTGTCAATACTGCGCACACCCCAGAGATCTTGAGCCGTGATCCTGGTCAGAGGTTAGAAATACTCATTTGTAGGTAGGTTACCCACTTGGTGCAAGTACATCCACATTTCTCAACCAAACTTTCTTGTAAGAAAGCTCATGTAAGAAACATTGTAGCTCATGAAAGAAACATTGTCGACCCAAATTATTTCTATAGAAAAAATATAGAAATGGAACAATTTCCTGACAATTTCCAAGCATTCACACTTGGAGATTAAAGTGATTTTGCATTTTAGACCTGATATTTTAATAGCAAGAAGAAAAAAAATAAAAATCTGCCTTGAGTGGCTTTCAAATAATTCTCAAGTATGTAACTACAAACAATGTGGCCAAACAATGAGAGCGATGAAAGCTCTCTTAGTGCACAACAACAAGCTATTCTATTGAAGAAGCTTTGTGTCTACATGACCAATTATATACCAAATGGGAGCTGTTATGGCCAAAAAAGCTTTGTGGCTTTATGCTTGGGGGATCAACCAATCCCAAAATATGTGACTGTATGCATATTAAGTTTAGTAACCTAACCTTACATACCTTTTATGTTTTAGCTTCACATAGCTGCACTAGTCTTGGTCTCATTAAATGTCACCCAGACACACTTATTGAATCTTAAGCTCATCCATCCTCCAGTGGTCAGTGATTCTGCAATCGTGGCTGTATTTGGTGTTCATGTGAAAAGGGCAAAGGGACCATCGGGCCAGCCCCCAGCCTGTGCGACATCCTGTTTATTGATTACATACAAATCTTGTTGTATGTATTCTCTTGTTAGTTTTTTCTTGTAACTTCTCTGTTAAATAGTTTTTCCTAATTTTGGCATTTACTGAATACATGAACATAGTACATGAAATGTATTAAACCGGTTTGTCTCTTCTCCTTACTAGTGGGACTTCACCATGCTAAATGGGAGCCTGTGGGTATTATTGTGGACCCTCTTTTCATTCGGTTTGCTTTGTGCAATTCTCCGATCACAGGTAAATGAAAGTGTATATCTACACCTGTGTTTACTGAGATTTTCAAATTCATGGCATCATTGAGAAGAAGAGAGAGTGAGTGTGGAGCTTTTAGTGTAAACAGAGTATTTTATGTGATGTTGTGACCCGTGTGCTCAGCAGACTTGAAAGAAAGCTCTCAGGATGAGCCCAGATGTCACACTGATGTATGTAAAGTGTGGGCTCTCAGTAGAACACACACAGTGTTTGTACTATAGTGAAACACACCACACACAGAGCTAATGGAAGCTGCTTTTTAAAAAAAACAAAAAAACACTCAGATCAGAATATAATCACATATGGTCACTCATGTTCCATGTTCTTTCAGTATGTTTATATTGCCTATGCCTGCCTGGGGACCTTGGTGTTTTCTTTGGTAAGTACACCATATGCTTTACATCATTTTGGGCTTAATGTGACCTTTTTTAGTGGCTAAGTCTTCATCAGGGTGGGAGTGTGGGGAACATGTGATGTGCCAAAGCGGCTGTCAGGGCAGTTAGTGTAAAGAGAGTCACTGATGTGCTGGTGCCCTTTCATTTCTATTATGCAGTGTTAAACAGCAGTGGGCTTCATTTTCACAGCCACCTCTCTGCATGCCTTTGGCATTAGCAGCAAATGTTGTGACCCAGCGAGTCAGCTGGTGGAACAAAGTGCCCCGCCACACTGGGCCCGCCACACAGGGCCCGCCACACAGTCAGCACAAAGACACTGCCTCTCTTGACCACAGTTTTAAGATAGATGTGTTTTGAGAAGGCTTACGCAGAAATCTGAGTTTGTTCCATCTACCTGCTATGTTATATAAGTAGAGAACTGAGCTACAGTACTAATATACAGAGTGGGGAATAAATGGGCTAAAGCTGTCAAAAGAATAGACACTTAGGATCTGACAATGAAAATTTCTGTACATTCAGAAGGATGCTGAGGTTATGGACATGCTAAGCAAAGCCTAGAGCATGCACTCCAAACCGAGGGCTAGAAAAAGACTCCAGACAAGACTACCTGAATTATATTGACCAGATGACATATTCGTTTAGTGTGTATGTTTTATTTTTTGTAACATCAACCTGCCAAGGGATCTGCAGATGGAAATTAGCCTAAGGCATTTGTCTTTATTTTTAGCTAAATGTTCATTAATATGAATTGTTTCCCCTTTTCTTAAATAAAATAATTAATATTATTATTAGCCATGAATTATAAGAATTCAGTTGATGATAGAAAATGTCTTACAGACAAGTCTTTTGAATGGTTCTACAGTTGTGCTTAGGCAAAACATTATCTATACGTAAGATATTGTACAGATGAAGCTTGTGTCCATTTGCAGTATTTGGTGTTTGACACTCAGCTGATCATTGGTGGGAAACACAGGAATGCCGTATCCCCAGAGGAGTATGTCTTTGCCGCTCTCAATCTGTATCTAGACATCGTGTCCCTGTTCCTGCTTCTGCTGCAGCTCATCGGCCTCTGTCGCTGACACCCCTCACCAGATCACCAGACCACAAGACAGTACTGTTTCACAGAGACAGCCAAACCATCAGGCAGTACTGTTATATAGTAGTTACACAGAGACCACCAGGCAGTACTGTCTATACAGCTGCACTGACATCATTTCATTTCCATATTTTTTTAACCACTGTATCTTGCCACATGTTTAAAATAAAATGTATTACTTTTCTGATTTTTAGTCTTTTTAATACAGTTACATTTGTTGATGTGTGTTAAGTGTTGCAGCCTGAGGCAGAAAAAAGGTTGCGCTTAAAACTCAACACAGTTTATTGGCATCACACATTAACCATTGTTCATATAAAGAGGGAATGTATCAAGTATAGACTATGAAAGTGCAAATAACATTTCAAGGATTAGTTGCTTTACAATAGAAAATCTGGATGAGTTACAAAATGTCTGTTTTTTAAAATAAGTTACCTGGACATTAGAGGTGAAATATAAAGTACAGATCCCATTGAGAGGTGTACCCAGTTCATGCACAGCATAATGTCAGTCACACACAAGGTTCATAGTCACTTTTACCTGATAACACTTCAGGCTAAGTTAGCTCCACTAACTTCATTATGGCACACACACACAACTTCAAGACACAACATTACTGCCAATGCTGTCCTAGGTCTTTTGATTTGAATAGAGATCACTTCATTCATTCAGACAGTAGTCTGTAAAACATTAGGTTCTAATTACGCACAATCTTCTTTGATAGAATATATTGCAACTGTCCTCTGTGTAGTGTCTTCAGGTATAGCAAAATACATTAGGTCAACTCCAAAGTCTGTAAAGTGATTTAGTCTCTAAAACACAGGATCTTTTGCAGCACTCAAACTAAAATATAAATCAAAAAGTAGTTTAAAATGTAAAGAGAAGTCATTCACTGCCATTATACTCCTCTGATTTTCCTATGTTAATGAAACAAACAAAAGCCTCATGCTACAGATAAACCAAGAACATCAGTTAGGAGCTCCTGTTTGCACACTACATACTAGTGAGAAAACATAAGGTAATGGGGTATATATTTGGTTTACACCATAAATACTGTGTAATTAGCACTCCGAAAATGTTCAAATCAAAGGTGATTAACACAAAGGCACTGTATTGTGACAGCAGAGTAATGTCCCACACACATTCAGTTTGCTTCGAAACTCTTGGGATAAATGACACTGCCCTACTAAATCTAAAATTAGGATGTTGTTATCCTTAAATGCGTCTTCCTGCATCAGAAAAACAAGGCTACTCACATGTGTACTTCTCAAGCTATGTTTTTCTGCACACAGTGTGCATTTAGAAATAGCCTTTGGGCTGGTCCATGTTTAAATTCAACAGGTGACATTTGTGACAAAAATCTCTTATTTTTTTAAATTCATATCCATTGTTAATCTAAAATAATTCCCTGTGCATATCTCATGTTTACAATAAATAACTGCTCTGTGGATCAGTGGTTCTGTTTACAGTGAAATATCACCAGCAGAAGTATTGAAGGAAATATGGCTTGAGAGTTTCACATTAACATTTTACCGAGTGGTTCAGATTGAATTCAACAGGCACAATTTGCTTTAAAGAATCCACTTAGTGACTGCAAATTGTGCTTTTGCTCGTCAGTGTTTGGCACCTACAAAATAGGCAGAATTAAACAGGCAAGGCAATTAGTCCTTACCTGTTCCCAATAGATTTAACATCACTGCTAAATACTACCGTGCCCTCTATGGAGCCAAAAGGTCCTAAAACATACAATAGGCTATAGATCCAGTGGAGACACACAGCGCACTAGGCTACAGTTTCTATCAGTCCTCTGACTCAAACTGACACAGCAACCTTTTCCTACATCAGTTACTCAGCACAATATTTACTTTAAGAAAAATACGCCACAGAATGCTTCACAAAAGTACGCTCCTGCTGTATCCTGAAAGTTTGTCATGAGCACAATCAGAGACATCCTCCTTGCTGTCATCATTGGGCACTCTTAGGGCTGTTTGGCTTTTCGAAATCCTCCATCATACCAAGTGCACTTGTTCTTCCCACTCAGAGGAGCTGGTGCTGGGCAGCTGTTCGGACACAGAGTGGCACTGTGGAGAGTCCACCACATGGCCGAGCCTCCAGGCCTCAGGGTGTGTGTGCTCTGCACTGGGCAGCACTGAGCTGGTGTAAGGCAGGGGCTCCAGCTGTACCAGCTCCAGCTGCTTAGGCCTCTCTGCTACAGCTACAGCTCCAGCACTCTCCTTTTGCTCTGGAGCACTTGCACACACCTCTGCCTCCACTTCCTTTGTATTTTCTGGGACGACCAGAGCAGATTTTTCCTGCTCATCCCGAAGGCTTTCATCTTCATCTTCAGTGTGCAGCGCACACAGGTTGGTGTCCGTGTCGGAGGATGTGGGGGGGACCAGGGTGATACCTTGAGGGTTCATGTCATGGAACCAAGCCATGATGTTTCCCAGCAGGTTTGTGTTTGCAGCTAAAGCAGAAGACGAGGACGGCTCCTGGCTGCTACATGTGGTGGAGTCTAGAGTGTCGCTGGAGGAGAACAGCCCCGTGGAGGAGTTATTTCCTCCTGGAGCCACTGGGATGGGGAGGGACGTCCTGTACATGTGGCCTGTGGTAGGGTAGTGACCACTGATGGACAGTCTAGACAGACTGTCTCCCAGCTCCAGTAGCTCAGAGCTGCTCAGAGAGGCTCGGGTAAGTGCCTCCACACCTACAGGGCTCTGCTCCAGATGAGAGGGCAGTGAGGTGCCGATGGCCCCCAGCGACACATCATGAGGCTCATCAGAGGCTCCTCCCCCTGTCATCCCTGACTCCTGGAGAGATAGCTGTATGGCCAATAGAATGTTTGGGTCATCTTCATCCAAAGAGCCGAGACCCTGGAACAATAGATTAAAAAAACACACGCATTTGAAACTGATATAAATTGTATTTATTCCAATTCTTCTTTTTATTAAACAAAACCATTGGCTCACCATTAAATGTCTGTGCCCACCAAGGTCATGTCCATCTATATAACAATAACAAATATAATACATTAATCACAGTTAATAGACAGTAAACACAGGTATTTCTGTCACATGGTAACTGCTTCCTGAAGTTAGAAACTTGACCATGTATTTCCATATTCTACTCTTACAAAAGATTGCACATAGTAATGGGTGAAAATTAAGAATGATATTGTGTTTATTCTAAAAGAAAATATTTCATTTTGGTAAAGAGATCTCAAAGTGTTTCTTACCTAAAGTGCCATCACTGGGGTCTTCGGGGTCTGGGGTGCCACTGCGTACACTGGAGAGGTCTCCTCTCCGCCGCTGCCTGTGCCTACGTCTGTACTGGAACTCTGCATATTCCTGTGAGAGGACAAAGTTACTTTTCATTATGGTGCAGATTCTCATTTGAGATTTCTGACATATTGTCAGTGAGTGGAGTGTGAATGGTAGAGAAGTAATTACAGATACTTTCACAAAGTAGGCCTAAATTAATTTCAAAAGAGCATTTGCATAAAGTATATTAAAAAACTATTCATTAAACTTTATCAAAATATCTCCCTGTCTTAAATTAGTATTTAGATGATGCTGATTGACATTCAGGTATGTATCATAACACTGATATCCAATTATTTAGAGATGAGTAAGAGATATCCTCAATGACAAAGTCTAGTGTCAATCTGATTAAGTAATACATCATCGGTCTATAATAAACTATTCACCCCTGATCTACAGGTACCACTGCATGCAGCATTACTACGCAAACTGTATTCCTGTTTCCACAGGTCAAAAAATTATTTGTACAGAATGAAGAACGGGCATCACACACTTGAAGAAGTGAAGGGCAATTATCTGAGGCAGCTAATAATATGAGTCTACTCAGTAGTAGGCTCATATTATTAGGCCTTTCAATGGGTTAATTCAAATCCACTAGAGTGAATGCAACACCAAGGAATCAAACTGTAGTAGCAGATAAGGTCGATCATGTAATATACACTTTCTAAAACTGACATCTACACAAATGTTTGCATATACCCAATATAGACCACAGTACCTCAGGCGATGCAAATCCTAAATATTCCCAGTCCCATGTGCCTCCAGCAAAACTGAAAATAAACAAAACAAGAAAGACACATTAAATATTCAAAACATTTAAAGAGGTGGCGTTACACTTCTAACATTTCATGGTGGTCGTGCTGGAGCATGGGTTATGTAGGCTTGTGGACTGAGTCTTGAAAAAGAAGCACAAGTTTGTTGTATGGGTGACTGTGTGGACAGTTTGAATAGTGAGAGATTGCAGGATTACTTGCACGGATAACATATCCGTGTAACATATAATCTATGCTATCCATACATTATATTTGTATAATATGAATGTATAACATAATTATAATATAATATATCATATGATTTTCATGCGGGGATCCTCTTTAAAATATACATTTATGATTTGAGATTTTACCTGCGCCTGGGAGCCTCAGGAGAGTCACTGGGTGCTACCCCTCTGGCCACAGAAGCCAGAAACTCCTGCCTCTTCTGCTGAATCAGACAGGCTGCACGGATGATCTTATGGCGGGGGGTCCTCAGGTAAGGCCGATTTACTTTCTGTGCAAGGTCCTCTGTTACCATCTCCAAATCCGTCTACAAACAAAGAACCATACTGGTAACACATTCAGAGTGTAAACGGTATGGCAGTACAAAGCCTTTTATGACAGCCAGCCTGTCAACGCTGAGCACTGATACCTGCATAAGCTCATAGATCTCTTTCTTTGTGCTTTTGGGCTCAAGGAAGAACCCGTAAGGATAAGAGCACTTCAGGATGCGCCGAGTCTTTAGTAGTTCTAGAACTGCGTCTTCAATGAAAGTGGTGTCAGGTGGGCCTCCTTCTCCTGCAATAAGTAAATCAAAGTACAATGTCTAAAATAAGCATGTATGTATGTTTCTATTGTTCCACTGTATTTCATATACTCTTTATATAACCAGGTAAGTTTAAGGAATAGTT